AGGTTTTATATGCTGGTGTCCTGACCAATTACCTATGCAACGTTTAATCAAAAGATTTCGTGATTAGGTGTATTGTCAACAGGTATAATTTATATGCTCAATTTCATGTATAATCAATTATTTAAATTTGATTATATTATTACTGTTTATTTATTTTAATAGTAGTAATAATAATAATAATAATAATAAAGTGTTATTGTTGTGTTGTGGTGTTGTTTAAACAATAATTATAATATATTTTATACATATGAAAAAACATTTAAACCAAGATTTGTATATTTTTTATGTCATTTTTTTTATTGACTAAGATTGCATTGGGAATTTTCTATTATAATACTAAAATCAAACGATAATGTGTTTTTTAAAATATATAATAATTCAAAATAATTTTTTTTTTATTTTTTAAAATAAATACTATTGTATCACTTGATTTCATAGTTTTATTTTCATATAAGATTTAATTGAAAAATAATAAGGGTCTAAGTAGTATTATAATTCAATTTAAACTACTATCTTAATTCAAAAACTTAGATTATTATATAAAGTTTTAATATATAATTTATATATTTTTATAACATTGTACTACTAAAAACTTTTAAGTATCTTGACGTGGATTGGTAAAATATAAAAAATGATTTTTTAATTTTTTATTTTCGCACCTCACCAAACATCCTTACAAGTAAACATAATTCACAATAAATATATGCTAATAAATTATAAATTTGAAGTTTTTGGTTCAAGTTTTTTCTCATAATCTTTTGTTTTAAAAAATTGGTATCAATGTTATGATATTTTTTATTTGCATATACAGTAAGAGGGACATAATTTGTGTTAGATTTTGATTGGATGATAAAGTTTTGTTGATATTTTTTGGATGCACTGACACATAAACAATTTAGGATATTTTTAGAATTGCATTCATTTTATCATTATATATTAGTTTAATAAATTGAGAAGGGTGGAAGAGGGCATATCTATCCATTCAAAACTTGAAGCCAGCCACATGTCGAAAAACACCAGTCTCCTTAGTTACAAATTTCTTTTTTAATAAATAAAGACTATTCTTTTTTTATATATAAATAAAAATATTTTAAAAGACAAAATCACCCCCGTTGACCACATAGATAGGAAGAAAATATATTGGGCACTCTAAAATTGAAGCTACTACTTAGGATAGTCTCCGCTAATCCAGATTCTACCTTATCTTATCTCAAGCTATCGACGATGATCATTCATTAACACAGTGTCTATCGTCATTAGTATCTGGACTTGGGCCATAAGTTTCACTTAAAAGTGGGCTCATCTCAAATTCGGGGTCCATCATTTTGCTTCCATCAACATGGGCTTTGCTCCGATGGACCCCCGGATAGCTTGCATGAGCAACCGTATGTGAATTATATCCAGAAAGAAAAGATTGGGGCCATAATGGGCACCGGTGTATTAAATTAATGTTGTTTTGTGTTTTAAATGTATTTTTTAAAAAACTTTAATTTTTTATTTTTTTAAATTATTTTTTTATGTATTTATATTATTTTAAGATGTTGATATCTAGAATAAATTTTAAAAAATAATCATTACCGTGATATTAAATTAATGGTAAATGAATATTTATGAATTGGATATCTTACTATTTATACTTAAATTTAAAATTATTATTCAAATTAAAATAAATTTTTGATACCCTAACCTAACACGCGTAAACGTATATATATAAAAAAAAGACTCAAGAATCATTCAACTAGTCTTGTAATTAAAAAAAAAAAAAGAGTTTTCAGAGTGCACGGTAACCGGATCTTGAACCTGTGCTCAACTAATCCCAATGGTCCAGGCTGCTTCTGCTAACCACCATTTCCATCATATGTGTAGAGAGAGTGAGGCGCCTGTGTGTGTTTCTGCTTACAGAAATAAATGGTTGCAAGGCTGGTATTTGAAGGCCTTGAAAGGACTGGGGAGACAAGGAGCATGGAGAGATGTTACTTTTTTTTTTAAAAAAAAAATATTTTTAACTTGGAAATATATTAAGATAATATTTTTTTTATTTTTTAAAATTTATTTTTAATATAAATAAATCAAAATAATTTAAAATTTCAATAATAATAATAATAAATTAAAAAAAATCATTTTTTAAAAAAAACACCTCTCTAAAATTTCATACTATACCTGAAGGATAGGCCTCGAGAACGTTGCTGATAAAATCCACCGCCAGCTGGATTTCGTGGCTATAGGACCGATACGGCCCGTTCGCGTAGAATCAAATCTGTGCTTCTTGTCTCGACGTCGTATGTTGTAAGCCCACGGTCTATTTATAAACAATTGGTGAATGGTTGAAGAGGGTTAAAGGGCCTGTTCATGACGGGCTCCAGAAGCCCATCTTGTGTATAAAGGCCCATCACCCTCCATCCTGCCATTTTGAGAATTTTCCTTTTTATTTCCCAGGTCGAGTGGCTTTTTTTCTCTCTCTTTCTTTCCAGTAAATAAATAAATAATAAGGTTCTATCCATAAGATATTTTTGAGGCGAGGTAAGAGGATCAAATCATAGATTCAAGCCCAGAATTATTATATACACCAGCCTGCAAAAACACAAACTTAGCTGTCAAATATTTGTCATAATACAAACAAAATCATAATAATGTGTTAATATTTAAATTAATGTCATTGTTGGTGACTAAACCATATATTTAGTTAACATAAGAGACATGTCTGGTGGTCGAGAGTTTCTTTGGTATTCTTATATGATATTATGCTCTGAATGCTGCATCGAAAGACAGAGAAAGTTTGATAATTGATTATTTACGTGCTTAAGAATATTTAAAATAGTACCTTATTAAATTACATGACCAACAAAAACCCTGCCATGTTAAGAATACTATAACATAGACATTTTATTTATATTAAACAATTTATAACATCATGGTCTTCCGGCAACATGAGGGCATGCATGTATATTTTTTGTTAGAGAGAAAAGAGCTTTGAATTAATTCATGTAAAATACTTGCATTTGTGATATTTATGTAATTTGTTAAAACAAATAATGAAGAAATTTAACATTTTAAATAGGAAAAAAATACCCTCACTGCAAAAAGCTCTGTTTTTGTTTAAAGGCAGGGGACAGTGTACTTTGTTTTAGAAGCAATCAATTTTTTTTTTTAATTGACAACTACTTGTTTCCTAAGCAAATCGGATGCTGATCGAAGCAAAACGGGCGTTGACTAAACGTGTTTTGTTTTTTTAAAGTAGTAGTCGAGCATGACAAGCATAGCACAACCGACACATGCATCACCAGACTGCTGTTCCCTCCTTTAGCTTTCCGAGTTCATACCTTGAGATCGAGAATATGTTTCTCCTAAATGCATCAAAATAAGATGAAGAAGAAGGCCTCAATATTATGAGTTTCAAACCTTAAACATCAATGTTCTGAGAATTTTCCAGATTGGTGTCTTCGCAAAGCTGCAGATCAAATCAAATCATGTTTATAAAGCAATAAAAGAAATTTGATCACTGATTTAAATAATTATTAACTCGAGAGGGTAAACAGAGTGCAAACAGGGAAGCACTGTAACATAAACAAACGCGAGATAAAGGGTAAATCACCACCAGTCAGCACGAAACTGCAGTTAATTGCATGGGTTCATTCAAATCGTCAAGCAATGCCCCCTATCATGTACAATTTGCATCGTACGCGACGATCCTCCAAGTAGAAATTTTATGCGAATAGTGAAAAAAAAAGATTGGTGACAATGAAAAGATGGAAAAGCAACAGGGATTTGCATGCAAGCACAGGCGGCGGCGGCGGCTAGAATAGAAGATATGGGGGAGTTTTAGCGGCTGTTTTATTCTTTTTATACTCCACGGTAATTTTATGATTTTAACGATATAATTTCTAGGATGGAATCTGTAATTTTTTTTTAAAAAAATAAAAATAAAGTAAAACAAATGATTAAACTAAAAAACAGGGTAAATTTCTATAATAAAAAAAATCTAACCAATTAAATCCTATAACGTTGAGGATAATTAATTCTGAAGAAAAAAATTGACGAATTGTTTTTTCTTGACATCGTCATGAATCTCAATAGAGTTTCACGTGTTACTGTGGAGGGGGGGACGGCGAACAGAGTTAGCTGCAGTCCTTTGCTCGGTTGTTTGCTCCTGTCCATTTCCTGATATTACCGCATATTTTTCTCATGTTGAAACAGAAAAATGTAGAGAAATATAAATAGAGACCCGGGAATTTCGACACGTGGACAAACAGAGTCCGGAATAGCTAGAAAAATGGATTTCATCACAGCAAACAGTTACTCTTCCTGGTGGCTATAGTTCCCTCTTTCCTTTCTCTTTATCCCTTCCTGACAAAAATAACGCAACAAGGCTGTATTATAAATTCATTCCAAATAGTGTTTTATTAAAATTTATTTATATCAATATAAAAATAATTATTAAAAATAAAAAAAAATGTTTTAATATCAAAATGAGCTATTCTTATATAATGACGTGTTAAGAAGCTATTGGATTAGATTAAATTCAACACTCAAGTGTCCTGTTTGTTTTTTAGTTTTAAAATTATTTTTTAAAAAAATTATTTTTTTTATTTTTATTTTAAATTAATATTTTAATGGTATTTTTAGTTCATTTTATATATTGATTTTAAAAATTATTTTTTAAAAATGAAAAATATTTTTAAAAATAATAATAATAACACTACCTGCCCAGTCGCTTTGACATTTTTGATTGCTGGTGCAGCACAAGCAATCATTTGACATAATTGATCAAGGGTCGCATGTGAAGCACCTTGACAGCCAAAAAGCAAACTACTATAAACAAGATATTTGCTCGAGCCAGGCCGAAAACGTTAGCAACATCAATGGGCCCCGGTGGGCCATGTCAGCCGACCTCGGACACTTGAACCTCCCGGGTCCAAACATCGATCAACCACTTACGTGTCCTTCGCACCAAAAGCGCTTTATACTAATAATTGTAACCGCAGTTTAGCTGTATCTTTTATTTATTTATACGGTAATACCTGTTATTTCAAACCCGCCCGACAACACTCTCTCCAAAATCCTCGTTCAAATATAACCATACATCAACTACTTACCCTCGTCTTAATCATGATTTACCGAAATATACCCTCCCCCAATTATCCGCTTCTATCCTGATCCGCTCCGCACGGAAGTTGCTCAGCACCGATAAGGGTAGTGTCGTAATTATATCTATCAACAGAAACCGCCATTTTCCACTCTCCCTTTCTCCTCTTCATTTGACCTTACAGGAGCTAAAAATACAGTTTTGGAGAAAGAAGAGAAGGGAAAACAAAACCAAACACACAACGCATAAGAGCGGGCTGGAGCGCGCGGTATTGCGTCCGCTTACCATTTCTACAAAATAAACAGCCACCATGCCAGTCGCTAACCCAGAGCCCCATCGAGCCAGCAGGTCTCGACAAACGAACCGACCCCCGTCAACTCGACACCACCAACAACAATCGAGCAGAGTCCCGTTACGCCAACTCCTCCGCGTGACATCAATCGCTGGTGGGATACAATTCGGCTGGGCGTTACAGCTCTCTCTCCTAACACCCTACGTGCAGGAGCTGGGAATCCCTCACAAATGGGCCAGTATAATCTGGTTGTGCGGCCCATTATCGGGATTGTTTGTGCAACCTCTTGTTGGCGTCATGAGCGATCGGTGCACCAGCCGGTTTGGAAGACGGAGGCCGTTTATTGTTGCGGGTTCGCTTTTGATTGCGATATCGGTTTTGATTATCGGTCATTCCGCTGACATTGGGTGGTGTTTAGGCGATAGAGGAGGTGTTAGACCAAGAGCAATTGGCGCTTTTGTGTTTGGGTTTTGGATTCTCGATGTTGCTAATAATATGACCCAGGGTCCTTGTCGTGCTCTTCTCGCTGATCTTACTGGTAACTATAATAATTCATTTTAAAGCTGTTCATTGCTTGATTTGATTTTATGCGAATTAGATTAATTTAGTTGAAATGAAATCAAAAACCTAATTGAGAATATCATTTTGCTACGATTCATTTTCGTTTTTGTTTTCCTTTAACTTTTTATGTGGTGGTGTGAGATGTCCTCTCTGACTTACGTTTGGCATCTTATTTTTATTTATTTTTTAAATGATTAATCATTAGAGGGGTTTTTGATGATTTTTAATTATTTAAGTTTTCATTATTGATGCTGCTTTATCTTTTTAAGATTCCGTTGTTGTCTGACGAGTGCTAAACGGAACCACTTTTGATCATTTTACGGACGATAATGTCCATAGCACATGATTTCGGATTGCTACACGGCGTCTAGAATTTCTGGTGGGGTCATATCGGTTGGTGGGACCGGACTGGTTGGTGAGCAATTGGAGTCTCTGTTGTGGTGGGTATTGGCCAATGTGGGTTTGGCCTAGTATGTATGGTTGATTGTGTTGATCGTCTAATAGCATGATTCAAGATGTATCAATTCTAGGTGGGATCCGCATATTCCATGTTGTGTGATCTGAGTTTGCTTCTTTGTTTCTGTCTTGTTTTATCTTCTTCTTCTTCTTTATTTTTCCTTCCATTTAAATAGATATGGAGATGGGGGCAACTAAAGGCAGTTTAAAAAATGTTCGCTTTCTCCATGTCGACCGGGGAAATTGGACAGTTGAATCTCATTCTGATTAAAAAACTATTTTCTTGAGTATAATTCCTTAAATAGTAGATTTCCGTAATTAGTATGGAATTTCAAATGAAACGATTTTACAATTTGAAAGTCATATTGGACGTGGTTCAGGCAGAGGAGCTTTCATACCTAAAGCTTCTTCGAGATTAGCAACAGTAACAAGTGTTCATTTTGCATTTTGAAGTCATTTTCTGGAATTTGGGATTTGTGGACAAATGCTATACAACGCACATGGGAAGATAGTGGAAGAAATGGGTGGTGAATGAGCATTTTCTATCCAGCTCATTTGTAGCTTTGAAAGATATACTTTACATGTGTGCCTGTTTGATCAATTTGCTATCTTCTATTTTGGAACATGGGGAGTCGAAGCTTCAAGCTTACCTTAGGGGCTATTAAAGCTTCCTGAAAGGAACAGAATCTCATTGATGTACTCTTAACAGGGAGAATGGCCTGTTTCTAGTCAGTGGCTTGTTTCTTCTCAGTGAATCGAAATATATCTACTCTAATGATGCAATGTAAAGTGGGTCATAATAAATATTTAACACCAGTGCTTTCTTTTGGTATTGCCGTGACTGTTTTGTGAAGCGGGAACTGATTAAGTACTGGATCAAACTGATTAAATGAACCTCCTCACTGCTCTTCTGACTGTCAAATTTCCTTGTTGTAATGCGAAGTACCTTGCACAGCCTTTTTATAAGAAATGATTCTTATCTGCTCATGTGTTCACTGTTCTTATGTTTTACCCATAGTTCATTCATATGAATACTGTGTATTTGTAATGGTATGCACGCTGAATCTTTGGTATTTGAAGTTTGTCTGTTGTTCCTAAACCTGTCATTTATTTATTTATTTATTCAATGTGTTTGTCCCAAGGAGAAGTTCTTTAGCTATGTGAATTGGACTTGAGGTCATAATGTGGTTAATTCCTGGATACTACCTGGAACAAAGCCTTTATGAATTGTGCTGTGTTTGGCATGTATCTCTGACAATAATAGTAAAAAAAGGGTTTAATGCCATGATTATGTACGGCAGAGGGATCTATGTACTGGGTTGCAGCAGTGTTTAATCCTTCTGCTATTTTTCTCTGAGGCTCAAAACACTACTATTTATTTAATTAAACAACAATACCTTCAACAATAAGGAGGTGAGAGTTATGAATTGCTGGTGTTATTTTTGTGGTTCTCAACAAGGATATGGGCAATCATCTTCTTCTATGTTTTCCCTAAGAAAAGAGATGTCCTATTGATAAAATGACTATGTGCATGCATCATGTTTCTTTCTTCTCGCAAAGCACAAGCTCCATTTGCTTGTACATGGTATGTATAAAAAGATCAAACAAGGAAAATACGCAGCAATTTGATTTTTGTCTGTTGGTGATTTGGCATTGCAGGAAAAGATCATCGAAGAACTAGAGTCGCAAATGCTTATTTCTCACTTTTCATGGCTATTGGTAATATTCTTGGTTTTGCCACTGGATCATATAATGGGTGGTACAAGGTTTTTCCTTTTACTGTTACTTCTGCATGCAATATTGACTGTGCGAATCTCAAGTCTGCCTTTTATCTCGATGTTGTTTTCATGGCAATTACTGCCTGCATAAGCATCTCAGCAGCTCAAGAATCACCTCTAGATTTGCCTGCCAGATCTATGCTTGCTGATGAGGAAATGCCAGGCCAGTCAAACTCTGAACAAGAGGCTTTCCTCTGGGAGCTATTTGGGACTTTTAGATATTTCCCATCAACTGTATGGATAATATTGCTTGTTACTGCTTTGAATTGGATTGGTTGGTTTCCATTTCTGCTCTTTGACACTGACTGGATGGGTCGAGAAATTTATGGTGGCAAGCCAAATGAAGGACAGAATTATAACACTGGAGTCAGAATGGGTGCATTTGGTCTGATGTTCAATTCAGTGATTCTTGGAGTGACATCTGTGCTCATGGAGAAGCTCTGCAGCAAGTGGGGAGCAGGTTTCTTATGGGGCCTTTCGAACATCTTAATGGCTCTCTGCTTTCTTTCAATGCTTGTACTGTCCTATGTGGCAAGCCATATTGGCTACATGGGACATAATCTACCACCAGATAGCATTGTAGTAATTGCGCTAGTGATTTTTGCAGTGCTTGGCATGCCATTGGCGGTAAGTTGCAAAACTCCTTCTAAAGGATCTTTAGATTTTCTGCTAAATATTCTAGTCAAATGTTTTGTCAGCAGTCAAGAATCAAGTAAACAATAGCATTTTTCTATGGGTTCTGCATCCTCTGTATGTTGTGGGTTATGCTTGCTGAGGGTCACACCCTCCATGTAGTTCATATCAAGTTGTTGATTTTCTTAGGTTGAAAGGCTAAAGTATGAACTTTCTTCTTATATGACACCTGAAACATGTGATTTATGATGATAGTCCTTTTATTATTAATGTTTTTACTATTATGATGGGAGTTATAAAAGAGAAGGAGCAAAAGAAAAGAAGGGAATTGAAAATTACTGTTTACATTTACATTTATTGAAGTTATATGCCAGAATAGGGCCAATGTGCTGGGACTTGACCATACTCTATTGATAAGGAAATATAGATTTGTTTGCCGTGCTTGCTTCCTGATCGAAGTATTGTTCTGTGGCTTATTCCAGAAGAAAACTGATGTCATTATTGATTGCAGATCACTTACAGTGTTCCATATGCTATGGTTTCCTCACGTATTGAATCCTTGGGACTTGGACAAGGTGGGCACTACTCCTTTGTGCCTGTATTTACAAAATTATGTTTTGGTGACATGGCTAAGTAATCACTGCAATCGATAATTGGTTCTTACAGGGTTGTCAATGGGTGTTCTTAATCTGGCAATTGTGCTTCCACAGGTTTCTCTTTCCTCTCACTTATTTAGTCTCTTGTCTTCCTGCTTGCTGAAAATAGGACAAATAGTAAAGAAAGTTTTTCTTCTTCCTTAAAAAAAAATCACCGTTGAAGAAAATAATATGTAAATTTTGTTTCTGACCCTGAATGTGATGCTGACTTGTTCGCTGTTATGCCTTTTGATGGCTGTCAAAATACAGCAATAACAACTAATTAGAAAGAAATTAAATCACCTTTAGTTACTTTCACCTGAAGACACAAACTACATATAATCTTCTAAAGACATAAACTAAGTTCTTCCTGCTGGAGCATGTTCCTCATATAATAATAGGTGCTGTTGCTGTGATTTCCATGTACTTGTCAGACCCCAGTGATACTTAGAATCATGCAGAGTCTCCTTCTGCCTTCTGACTAATGATTCCTCAATTTTTGTTTTATTTTATAATTTGCCTCTTGTTTTGACCACACGAATGATTTCAGTAATTTATACACATGATAATCAGATTAAGTCCAATATTAAAAATGGAGCGAAAGGTGACTTCATGAAATACCCTTGACTTCAGCTACATTGTTAGTTATAGATCTTAGAATGTGGCAGTTTGGTAAATATGGCAGCAGCCCTGAAAATGCATTCTTTTTGGCTTCTATTAGTAGTAAATCTGAATTATTATGTGCTGTTTAACCTACATCTAACCATGTGATGAAGGAAATATAAATCCGAACTAACTTCGAAATCCTCGTATTGAAACACAATTTTAGCTAATTCCTTGAGATATCCCAATAAATTACTATCACCTTTCATTTTATAGAACATTGTATGATCTAACAAAGCTTGCTTAAAACCATACTTATTCATTGATTGACTCAACTGGCCAAATCAAAAGCTTGACGATTGTTTCAGTCCATACAATGCCTTTTGGAATACAATGAATCTTGGCTTACCTATAATCATTAAGAGAAGTAATGGAATCAAAAGGAGGTGGAGGCTTCACAATTACATTCTTGTTCCTCCTTGTATGACCCTTTTGGAACAACTAAGTGGGCCTTTCATCCCTACCCTCTTCATATCTGGATACTTCCTCTTTTACAGGATCAAAGGATATCTTCTCATCTAAAGCAGCTAAATCCTCCCTCTTGCCTGAATTCCACAATCTCTTTTATGCCAATAATGAATGTCCTTATTACGAATCACCCCTATAAGAGGGACAAAAGGCACCTCCTTGGAAAGATAATACCTTTTTTTTCACATAACCAAACATCCATGGATATATAGTATTTATCTTTAGGGGGTGAAAACACTTGTATCTTTTTTGGGAATTAGCGTAACTATCGAAGGGCATGAGGATCAAGCTTATCCCTGTGAAGAGAGTGAATATGGTCATAATTTGCACAACCAAAAGTCATAGGAAAAAGATCGAGAGTAGAAGGAATAATACGGGCAAACATCCTATTAATAAGGAAGACAATAGTCATGACAACATTAGCCTAGGAATGGTTAGAAACATGCATAATAAAACATAATAACGGGGCTACATCTAGGAGATGTTGGTTCTTACATTCTTCTATGCCTTTTTATTGTGGTGTGTAGGCACATGTTTGGTGGATTATGCCATGAGCTTTGAAGAAATCAACATGGGATTGATTCACAAACTCACAACCATTGTTAGAATGAAAGACCTATGAAATTGTGTGACAATCATTTTGTAAAATTTAGGAATAACATGGATAATATCACTCTTAGATTTTATAGTAAATATACCTAGCTTATCCTAGTGAAATCATCATAAAAAATAAAGTATTTGAGACCTACAGCAGAAAGGGTAGAAAAAGGACTCAAAACATCAAGTATAAATGTCATATAAAAGGATTTGAACTTTCATTGAAAAGGAACAGGATGATTTTAGCATAAACGCATTGCTCACATCGTAAGCGAGAAACAAAATATCACAAAATAACTTAGGAAATAAATATTCTAAAAAGGCAAATGAAAGATGACCCAACCAACAATGTCATAATAGAATTTTTTTTTTCCTTGACATCTTCTCTACTTGAAGACATTGGCTAAACTTGCTCTAGCTTCCTCCAAGCAGCAAGGACCTCCTCTCTCTTTACCAATGCTAATCAATCTCTTTGTGAGATTGTCCATAAACACATAATGGGTAGAATAAAATATTACAAAATTGTTAAGATGTTTGGCAATATAGCTAATGTAGAGCAGATTTTTAAAAAGAGTAGGAGCAAGTAAAGCAAAAGATATGGAGAGTGTGGGTGATAGTGAGGCATTGCCGGCTTCAATAATTAGCATAGGAGCCCCATTAGCAACCTCAATAGATTTGACATACGGAGATATTAGTGAATCAAATAAGGAGGAATTGCTAGTCATGTAATCAATAGCTCCTAAGTCAATAATCCATATGTTATTAGCAAAAGAAGTAATGATGAGATTTTTGGAAAAATAAATACTTTCCTAGGTTATTTTTGTTTTTTCTTAATTGATTTAAGAATTTTATTTTTTTTCCTATTCAATATTATTAGGTTTTTCTATCTAAAGGTAATAATTTTTCTATTTTATTTTTCACATTTAAAATTGTTAGGATTTTCAAAAATCTCGATAGAAAAGGTTGTGTTAGCCTTTTGACAAGTAGACTGGGATTATTAAAAAATAAATATTTCGGGTGTTTCCCTATAGCTACAGTATTATTATATTTGGAGGTTTTGACTTATAACAAACTGTTATTTTTTATTTTCAATCGTGTCGACAAGACCTAAACTAGGATTACCTCTTCAAGAAGACTTGCGATGATGCACGGGAAGCAAAAGATTGAGATGTTTCAATAACAATATGGGAGGACTTTTTGTTTTTTCTCTTAGCTTTGTTAAGCTTAAACCACAATGGATTACCCTGCTTCTATCTTCCAGCAAGTATCTATTATATGTTTGCTGCTATGTGATGAATAAGGAGGGACTGAAAGGTAACTATTCTTCTAGATGGCAAGGGCTGAAGCCTCAATATGATCTTTAGTTCTCATGATAACCAATCTTTGCACATCTCGACAAGCTACAGAGTGTGCTTCTTCCAAACTGGGTAAAGGAGAGGTAGCTAGGACACAACTGCTGACTTGATCCAAATTGTGATCAAGACCTGCAACAAACATGTAAACTCAATCCTCAGTCATCTTTTTTCTCTGTTTCTCCACACTGTCTTAGCAACTTTATCATTTGTCATTCGATAGTAAAGTTTCATAAAAATGGAATTTAGTTCATTATGGTATTTAGTGAGGGGTCTGCCACCCTGAAGTAATTGAAAGGTTTTCTTTATTAGTTTATAAACCTGGGAAGAGTTGGATGCATCAAGATAACTCCTCTAACTAAGTGTGACATAAGATTGGGAGTCCTAGAGTTGATAAGCCATGGCTCAACTAGAACATCCTGTTTTTCCCATTCATCATAATATGGATCGTTTTCAACGAGTGCAACCTTTCCCCCCATAATATAATCCTTCATCCCATCAACAATATGCATTTCCAGAATTTTAGACCAAGCATGATAATTTGTACCATCCAGTTAATATGGATCTGAGAAGAATGCAATAATATCTTGATTTCTGAATCTACAAAAACTTTGTCACTGTTGTACATAGTAGATTGCTCATCAAACATAGAAGACTAGGGTTGATTGAAGTGGTTGTAAGAAAAAACAGCATGAAAGTGTCATTAAAAGTTGTCAAGTGTCATTAAATCTTGTCAAGAAATCAAGTTAGGTTAGCCTAAAACCCTGATACGAAATTGAAAAATGGAATTAGACTGAATTATTTTTATCCATATCATTAAGTGGCATTTATACAAGAGACTTATCAATCATTTAGGTAAGCCAACGATACAATTAAATGAGTTAAAATCTAAGAGGTAAAGGTTAGGTTAAAAATCAGCTAACCAATTGACAACTATATATAACTAATATATGTTAACTCTTAATGTGCCTTTTAGTAAAAAGAATATTGTTTTTACATCAATGCATAGTTAATTTATATCACAAAAATGAAAATATTGATACTCCACTTCTCCGCCAAAATGTGAGTTTCCACTCAGATAATTTGTATGTTGTTGCATAAAATTATTGTCGAAAAGTGTTCTGGCCCACTTAATACTTGTATTTTTCGGTCTGATGAAATAAGTTCTACCCTTGTGAAGCAACATTATCCTTTCTGAATCAATTATCTGTTGCAATTAAGAACCTTGTCTAATCTTGGTTCTTTTAAATGAAGAAGTGGTGTCCTCTATCAAATGTGGAAAGCTCTCCTGAGTGGTGGGCACCTTAAATCATAATTGCCTATTTCTTGCTGAAACTTTTGAGAAGATGTGAAAATTTCTCTCTATTGCATTTTATTATTCACATGTCAGTTTTATCCCATTGGAGAATTGGCAATGTTGTAAACTAGTTTGTCACCATGATTATGATAGATAGATACTTGGCCTGGCATGAACTGGTGCAATATTGCCTTTGTCATCTGTAAATTTAGCAAACTAGATAAAATAAATCAAAAGCTGGTTCAATCCATGCCAGGCAGAATTCTAGATTATAAGTTTATGCTGATGCAATGTGTGAAAAATTGCAAAGAAAATTCCCAGGTGATGGATAGATGCTTTCAGTTAATGCGAGTACTTGTGCAGTACACATCCTTTTTTCCAGCAGATTGTACTTCCAATGATTTCTTATGCCTTTACATATTGAATTCCCTACGATTTATGTAAAAAAATTTCTGCAGGAAAACATCAAGTTAGGATTTTCTTGTGTTGTCATTTATTTGTTAAAATCTGATGTCAAAAACAGGTGGTGGTTTCTCTGGGAAGTGGACCATGGGATCAAATATTTGGTGGTGGAAACTCCCCTGCCATTGCTATTGGAGCACTTGCTGCCTTTGCTGCTGGAATTATAGCCATCTTGGGTATTCCTCGATCAGGAGTTCAAAAGCCCACGGTCTTCTCATGAGGTATTCTTTTTTCACCTATTTTTTGGATGTTGATAAAACTCAAAATGTTAACGGGCAGCAAAAATTTGTTGTTTACCAGTTTCCTCTGTAACATATTGCTTTCCCATAATGCAATTGAAAGGCCTTTTTTTTGTGGCAATTTCATCTGATCAGTTGTCAGGATAGTCCATGAGGTGGATCTGAGAGAAGGTGCTCTCAATATGCATATTGCGAGTCCGAGTTTCTTTGAAACAGGAAATTTAATGGATGATTTGAATCGTTGGGTAGTTTTTAAGGATTTTTCTTAGCCAACTACAGATCTCTTCTACTTAAAAAATGTACAAGACTCGGTGGATAGGCGTGCCTGTTTGCAATACATTCAACATGTATTAGGAACGGTGGAAAACATGCATATGTAAAGCAATGGTCACACGAAATGGCAACTCACAACATGAAATTGCAACTCACAAGTAGGGAAACAGATATTATAGCTGTTAGTGAATGATGGGTGAGACAAGCCTTCTAAATTTGGGGAAGAATTTCTCCAAACGAGAAAAAGTTCTCCTTTTTCCATTGGGAAAGAAAGTAAAACCCTGGATTGCTCCCAATACTACTCCCTCACCAACCAAGATAAGTTGCTGCTGATTGGGATTTATCCCTGATGGAAAAATATTCATTGTCCAAAGGTTACACTGATTGGCTTTTGGTGGTCCTAGCATGATGTATTCCAATCGCATGCATTTTGTGCCTGAGTTTTCCATGTGAATGTGGTGAGTTGTGCTTGGTGGCGAGCAGTTAGTATGTGAGTTGTGCTGATTGAAACCCTGATGGGGACATGTCTCTTCTGCTCTGATTTTTTGAAATTCTTCATTGATTTTTATGGACTATCTACTTTGTGATAATAATTAAGTATTTCTTGTCATTGGTTGTGTCTGAACCTTGGAATAAATTCTTGTGTTTATTGCAGTTATCAGTATCAATGAAAGCCTGTTTTGCTTTCAATGCCTCCATACAATGCTTTCTGATAAGGCCTGGGAATCATTTAAAAGACCTGCCTCAGGTAAAAATTGTTTGAGCTAATTGCTGTTAACTATTAAATGAAGACATGGCAGAAGACTTGGAAAAGTTTGCATGGCAGTAGTATTACTATATTATCATTGGACTTATTTGCTCTGAAATACATCAGAATAGTTTTGGAAATACTTGACCTGTGCTTCAGACACTAGAATGCGTGCATGTGCATGTTAAAAAATCTAGGCGGGCGCTTTGAGAAAAAAGTGCTGGGAACGTAACGCATCATGGGGAACAATGTAGCTTACCTGTGCCAAGATCAGCAATGCATACAAAAATGGCATCCGGATAAAAACTGATTTTCATGTTGACATGTGTGGTTTTTGTTAATCAACACAAATCGCATCCAGCTAAGAACAGATTAGCATGCTGACATGGTGGTTAGAGGCAGAGATTTCATGGTATCTCCTACCAGTGACTAATTCTGAAATTAAGCATCAACCTTTTTTCAGGAAAGAAAGAGGCAGGGTGAGGAGGATGGAATCTGTGAATTTGTTCGCGTTCTAGAGGAGTATAATCTTTATTAAATGTCAAATCCTGGAAGGTCGTGTCGCTGTTGCATATCCTTTTCCTCCACATTGAAACTTGCATTTGGCGTTGTATTTGGTTTTTCTTTTTTTATTACTACTACTTTTATTATCCCAAGAAAATTCTGTTTGAATTCCCACTATGACAACAACTTGGTGTAAAATGATAAATGTGAAAGGCGTTGGCATCGCCATGTGATCCTAAATAATGTCAATTTCTATGTCCACATCTGGTTTGGGGGGAGATTAAACCCCCACTTATAGGATTCTAAACAGGTTTTCGTTCATATTATCACACTAATTTTTGTCCGCTGGTACAGTCTTATGACACGTTGCTCTCATCTACAGCAATTTATTGAGCTGGAGACACATGGAATCTGACATGGGTGGGTATGGATTTCAGAGAACTATTATCTTATGCAGGGAAACCGAGGGAAACTGATTCCTGAAGCAGGTCAGTCCGTGGAAAAGGCCAAAAAAGCTGAACTCTATTTGTTTAGGAGGGTGATGATGGTAGGGCTGCAGCTTCTGTTGCCTCACAGACACAGCCAAGGCTCTCTCCTACAGAGAGACAGTCTCGTTTCTGTTGTGGGAAAAGGGATACAAATTAAATGGTCGCAATTGGAGCACGTAATTGTCTCTCAATGTTCCCTTTCTTCCATCTGCCGGTTCTCCATAGAGCCATCTACTGTCGTCTCCATTAATCTCGTGGTCCCATTTATGACAAAATAGCCACCTCCACATATTGTGAAGAAGATAACCTTTTTAAAAGAAAACAAATTATATTTGTTAAAGACAGAGCAAACTATTATATCCACTGGATTTGACATTTTTAGTCCCTTGGAAGCCCCTCCCAGAACCAACCTTTTGTTCATCGGTTAAAACCCAGGTTATCTCCACAAGCATGTCATGCTTTTGTTCCCTTAATTCCCTCACACGGCTGGTGTCTCAAGCCCAGTGCCTCTCTCAATTCCAACGATGTCCTCGATCATCCAACGCTGTTACCTGGACGGAGCAAGGACGATCCCTCACTCCTTAAGAAAACTTGAAAATTGCATGATTTTGTGGAGTTAGGAGGATCTCTACAGATCTCTTGGAAATTTGATTTTGTGGAGTTAGGATCTCTATAACTCTCTTGCTATACAGAGATTGACCGTCTATTTAACTGTCTATTTAAGAATAGATTAGAACACAGATCTCAGCCCGTCTCTTTCCCACTTTCCGAAGAGCGAAACTCCCACCTCAAGTCGGTATTATTTTATTACACCTCCCCACAACGCCTTCCCTCCTCCACCGATCTCAACTCATGAGCCCAAATGAAACAAGTTAGAAGAGAGAAATCCAGAAAAGATGGGGCCTGAGACAGAGTTTGCATTAGCGTGTCACCTCCCCACTTGGGCAAATAGCCAAGCGATGTTTTCATGTTCGAGTGTTTGCAGACAACAGAGATCATGGTCCGAGTGAATTTTACCACATGGGGTGTGCAAAGTGCAACGACTGGATCATGCCATCGATGGATGCCTTAGAACATGCAAGCATTTCTCTGCCCACAGGAGAAATATACCATTATGCCCCCGTCACTTCAGAAAATAGGCGTATTTGCTCCTCCATCCAGTACCCCATCCACTTGGCAGCGCAAGATAAAGTCCTTTATTATCCCTTTCATGTAAGGAATAAAAAACACTAAATGGATGAAGGGTTTAAAAAGAATATTATCCGCTTAAAGCAAAAAGGTCTGATCAGCAAAAACAATGTCCACCATAACAAAAGGTAGTCCCCCATTATCACTTAGCAAGCAAACATCCATGGACAAACGGGTTGTGGCGGTTAAAAACAAATAAATCCACCAATCACCACCCATTTGACCATCTTAATCACGATAAGACCTCCTAAGGCAGAGCTGCTTGCTTCCCCTAATCCTCGAAAGCGGAATTTTATTTTATTAACAACTAATTAAACCTCAACTGTGCAGTGAGGCTGTCCTTAAAAGAGTAGAGTCGGCCCCCACTAGCACTCAAGAATCCAGTATCGCTTTTTAACAGCATTTTCTCTTCAAAATGTTGACACGTTCCTTCCCAGCCAACAATAGGACCCAAGCCCCTCGAGTATATATAGAGCCACAATTCTTGCAAGCAGTATTCATATCCCCACAAAGCAAACAACAAAGCCTGCAGCACTAAGGAAGTTGCAGGACTCCCCCCCTCCCCCAGCCGAGCTCGCTTGCTCGCTCGCTTGCTCATCAATATTTGCTCTTGAGGTTTGTTCTTTTTTTGTCAGAGAAATATGTGCAATCCAACCCCAGCTAAACCATCCTCATTTCTCTGTCCCAAGAAACCTCAGTTCAGTAATAAACCAAACAAAACTATGGATCCTTACACCGATGATGATCAGGAAGAACAGCTACATAGATGGCCAACTCCTTCTGAAGTAAGAATAATAATCTATTTTCTTTTGCTATCTAAATACACGAACATATAAGCAAAGATGTACCGATGATCTGTCAAGAAACAAGACAGCAGTACACATCATTTCTCATTTCCTTTTTGTTTTTGTTTGCTTTCAGGCCTTGCAAGAAATCAAAGAAATAGGGAAGATATCTGGCCCAATAGCAATGACTGGTCTTGTTCTGTACTCAAGAGCGATGATCTCCATGCTTTTCCTTGGCTATCTTGGGGAGCTTGAACTTGCTGGTGGCTCACTCTCTATAGGTTTCGCCAACATCACTGGCTACTCTGTGCTCTCTGGTTTAGCTATGGGAATGGAACCCATCTGTGGACAAGCTTATGGAGCAAAACACTGGAAGATACTTGGCTTGACTCTTCAAAGAACTGTTCTCCTTCTCCTCTCCACCTCTGTTCCAATATCCTTCATGTGGCTAAACATGAAGAGCATCCTTTTATGGTGTGGTCAAGACAAAGAAATATCTTCAGTGGCCCATACTTTCATTCTTTTTTCCATTCCTGATCTCTTCCTTCTTTCACTTCTTCACCCGCTAAGAATCTATCTCAGGACACAAAGCATTACATTACCAATAACTTATTGTTCAGCCATCTCTGTTCTTCTCCATGTCCCTTTGAATTTCCTTCTTGTTGTCCATTTCAAAATGGGGATTGCAGGAGTGGCAACAGCCATGGTTTGGACCAATCTCAATCTCTTTCTCTCACTCGCTTCTTTCATTTACTTCTCTGGTGTATATAAAGATTCATGGGTTTATCCGAGCATGGATTGCCTTAGAGGATGGTCATCTTTGCTAGCTCTTGCTGTGCCCACTTGTGTTTCTGTTTGCCTTGAGTGGTGGTGGTATGAGTTCATGATAATGCTATGCGGACTACTTATTAACCCAAAAGCGACAGTAGCTTCAATGGGAATTCTTATCCAGACAACGTCGTTAGTCTATGTTTTTCCATCATCTCTAAGCCTTGGAGTCTCAACAAGAGTAGGAAATGAGCTAGGGGCCAACCGCCCGGCAAAAGCCCGCATTTCCATGATTGTTTCCCTGGTATGTGCGGTCGCTTTGGGCCTTATGGCCATGCTATTCACAACATTGATGAGGCATCAATGGGGCAGATTTTTCACTAATGATGCTGAAATCCTAGAGCTAACATCAATAGCATTGCCAATTGCTGGGCTTTGCGAGCTTGGAAATTGCCCCCAGACAACTGGTTGTGGGGTTTTAAGAGGGAGTGCTAGGCCTACCATTGGAGCAAATATCAATTTAGGTTCATTTTACTTGGTAGGTATGCCAGTTGCAATGTTTCTGGGGTTTGTGGCTAAAATGGGGTTTGCAGGACTCTGGCTCGGATTGCTTGCAGCTCAAGCTTCTTGTGCCTTGTTGATGCTGTATGTTCTGTGCACAACAGACTGGACGGTTCAAATAGAGAGAGCAAGATTGCTCACCGAAACATCTGGAGCGTCTACTACTCCAATATTACCAATATCATCATCCAAGCCAGAAGTTATGACCACTAAGGAAGCTAACAGTAACAAGGCTAATCTTGAAGACATATTGTGCATTAATGATGATCTTGTGAAGTCAGCTTCAATTGAAACAGACCCACTGATATCCACAACACAAACCGTGCATTAATTAGACTAATACACTTGAATTCCTCATTTTTGCCCCACTCTTCAGAAGCTTATGTGAGTTTTATTTATTAGACTTCACATTGATTTCCCACTTGTACTGTAGAACCTACTTTCTTTTCTTATCTTTCATCTCCTCTTTCTTTTTTTCTTTTTTCTTCTCCATGATGTATTATTAATAACATGGTAGAATAGACTACTACATACTTTGAAATTATTTAAGCTCTCCACATTGACAAGTTGAGAGGAAAAGGAGAGATGGAGAGAGAGAGAGAGAGCAAGAGGAGAAAAAAGGTTTAATCTGTCGGTTGTTTTTGAAGCGTGAAGGAGAGAGAGAGGATCTTGCTTAACTTTCTTGCTGTTGCCTTCCATATAAGGTAACAACCTAGACTGCCTAAAATGGAAAAATTAGCGTAATACCCTCTAAGTTTTGTCCAAAGAACGCATACTCTATATATGTATATCTTAATTCAAGTCCTTATGTAGAACTCTCTCTCTCTCTCTCTCTCTCTCTCTCTCTCTATATATATATATATATATATATATATATATATTCCACCTTTCTTATCAATATTTCATAACCAATTCAAGGGTGGAATAATTAATATTCGGTGGTGTAATCTTTTTCATCTTAGTTTCTAACAACCTTCCCCTTAATTTAATTAGATACAAAAAATTACTGATGCTGCTGAATTTTACCTTTCCTTCTCAGAAGAAGATGTCACGTGGTTGATGGGTTCATCGATAAGGGCTGTACTTTGCACCTTTTTATTTCATTATCTCTCCGTTATATGCCCGACAATGGCAATGTGTGTTATGCACAATCCCCCCCCCCTTCTTTTTATTGGTAATTCACATCTTTTGACAGCAAAATATTGGGGGTGCAGCACTCCTCATCCCTTTCCATCCTCTAAAATATTCTGCAAGTTGGATTCATGAGGAGGATCCCTCTCACCATTTAAAGGGAAATGCTTCTTCTTTTTCATGTACCCTAAGGTGTTGTTGTTGTCGAAAACTATTGCTTGCTAATGCATGTAACTATCAATGTGCACAGTGCTGTGGTAAAATATACCAGCAATCGTTCCTTTTTCGTTCTATACTCTCCTTCGATGCTTCGAACGCATAACTTTTGTATGTATTTTGACAGCACTCTGGCAATTACTAATTCCTTCATCTTATCCGTCCATGATGTAATGTACGTATGTCATTAGATCTTACATAAGTGCAAGTGCACTTATTTATATATGGAATAAATGATTTTTTAATTTATCATGTCGTGGATTTGTACTTGTAATTAATATATTGCTGGTTTCGCTTGTACTGTCAAGTTGCCCCTCGCGGTATGAAATAATTGCAACACACGGTCACAGATGAAGAGAGAGGAGTTAACACGCGCCCACACATATACCTGCAGTTGTGGACAAAGGAGGCAGTGAAGAATGATGATAATGGGCAGCAGTCTCGGAGAAGTATCCACAGAAGAAGGCCTTGGATGGGG